TAGGGAGAAACTTTCCCATGCCTGCCCTACAAGGCAAGGGGCCAAGCCAGGCTCCAGTAGTGTCTGTGTCATCAGAGGATATTCCAGTTGTGCTAGAAGGACACATTCCTAGGCAGCCTGCCACCTTGTGACTATTTCTGCAGTGTCAGCCTTCAGAAGGTCAGGGACTAGGTAGAAAGACCGGCTTTTTGAGGGAGGCAGATCAGTACTTGAATCCTGGCCCTTCTTCCCTGGAGCTGTGTGGGGCTGAGCTGTGACTCTTAGTCTGTTTCCTCATCTGTACAAGGAAGACATGTTGTCTCCCAAGGCTGCCGTGAGAATCAGGTGCCACTGTGCTCTGGATTCCTAGTGACCCAGGAGAGGTCTTACTCCCATCTGTCGTCAGTCCCCTCCCAGAAGTAAAGATTAGTCAGCTCTGAGAAACCCACTCTGGAATGTGGAGCGCGGTGAGACTTCAAGGGCAAAGTTCACCCTGCCTGGTAGATACTCTTTCTGAGAACTAAGTTGTCTGACTAGTTCATTCCCAAGCCTATAGCTCTGTAAGCTGAGTATTCATTGAAAAATTCTTGAAATCTTTTAAAATTATCACACTCTTGAAAATAACCCTGCTGGTGTTCTCATGGACCTGCCTACCTGTTTCTTGAAGGAAAGGAAATCCTTCAGGCCTACCTATGGGCATGCCTAAGTTGACACAAACCTGCTCCTGTGCCAGGTCACCTGCCTTTGTCCCTTAGCTGCCCAGCCATAGAAGTGTCCCTGAGGAGGGCAATTCTGATCCTTTGGCTCATTGAAAAAGGCTGTATCTGTCAGCCTCTTCTCACTCCACCCTCCTCAGAGAGTCCAGCCAGTGACCCTCAAACCTAGCACAGCAGAAAGCCTGTTAACACACAGCCTTCTGGGCCCTCCTAACCTCCCAACCCCCCCAAGTCACAGAGTGGTGAGTCAAGAATTTGCATTTCTAAATCAGGCACGGTGGGTCACACAGGAAAAAAAAAAAAAAGCAAATGAAATAACACACAAAATAGAATTTGAAAGTCTGTCAATTCACTGGTGATGCCCCCTGCTGGTGCAGGTACCCTGCTTTCAGAACCAATGATTTGGAGTAGTTAGATCGAGAGACCCTAGAGCTAAACTGCCACCTGCCAGTTGCATCATTGTGACACATGACCCCTGTTTCATGGCTGCCTCATCTGCAAAATCCTTTTCCTCATAAGTAACTCTTGAGAGGGTCAAACAGATTTAATATACGATGTGCCTCGTGCATAGTAAATGTTAAACAGAATTTGTGACTATCAGGATAGCCAATTTAGCTAAGCCTGGGCATGGTGGAGCACCCTTGTAATCCCAGCCCTCAGAAGGTGAAAGCAGGAAGATCATGACCTTTAGTACAGCCTGAGGTAAATAGTGAGACCCTCTCAAAAACCAGAAAAGAAAAAAAAGAGTGAAGAGTAGCCCCAGGTCTTAGTCCAGGTGCTCACACTGGCCCTGTGGCTTTACTGACACCCTTTTGCCTTGGTTTTCCCATCTATACTAAGAAGGTAATGATTTTCATTTTACATTCCATGCAGGATTTTCCGAGGTCTAACCAAACTGTGTGAAAACTGAGCACTTTGTAAGTGCTCCTTACAGTTAGATACCGGGAAGAACGTGATCAGACCTGGCCTGAAATAGCAGGCCAAGCCTGCAGTCTCTCGGACTTTCTGCCTGGTTTTCCCATCTCAGGAAGAGATAAATAATGACAAAGGACTCAAAGAAGCAGCAGGCCTATGTTGTAGCTAGTCCCAGGGCAACTGCTTTCTCTGTAAATTCAGAGAAGGCCTTGTACACTTCCTGCAGATCCATCCCAGGATAGGGGCCAGCTTGAAGCCTGGGCTCTAATACTGGCCAGCCCCCTCTCAGACTATGGAATCCCTGTTTAGGGACATTGACATGAGTGAAGAAAGAGCATGAGGTATATAGTGAGACCCTCTCAAAGCCCATACCAGACATTCCCAGGAAACTCCTTCCATAGCATGCTCAGGCTTGGCCTCCACCCAGGCTGCCTCAACCCCTGGCTTCTGGGAACTGAGAACCCTGTAACTGTATACCTTGCCACCCCACAGAGGTCCCACGGCATGAGATAGGTGAGCAGCCCTCCTTTCCGTAGGAGGAGGTGGGCAGCCACAGGCCTGTTTAATTTAATTTAACGCACTGTGGCTGGCCAGGTTGCCCCTGGTAACAGCTTCAGTTGCTGCTCCGGAAACAACCAAGACTTTTAAAGAGACAGGCCATTTTCAGGCTGGAGCTGCACTGCCAAGTGAACAGCATCCAGCAGCTCATCTGGAAGATGAAAACCCAGTACACTGAGGCCTCCACTCCATCTGCTCACCCATTAGCTCCACTCCATATCCGCTGACCCCTTCTGTAACCCACAAGGCCTCCTGCAAGTATCACAAGTGGGATCTGCTCAGGGGCTACATTTGGGATTTGTCACACCTGTCACTCAGCTAGCTATTTTTTTGAAAATCAATCCAGTCTTCAAATTTGGGGGGTGGAGGTGAGAGGGTGGTGGGAGGGTGATAGTTAAGGCCTAGGAGCTGCCCCTGCAATTCAGAAACACTGCCACCAGGTGGTGGTATTGCTTTCATTGTGAAAATCCTAACAGGGCTCTGAATTTCTTGAGGATGTTGACAAGAGCAGAGTAGTGGGGGAAGGGCTGGGCTGTAAACCTTGATGCTAATAAGTGTAAATCTTGGATAGGTCACTCCAGCACAGGATGCAGCCTTCTGGTCAGAGGTCATGCCAACAAGCAGCCAGGTAGCCCCAGGTCCTGCAGGCTGCCCATGAGCAAGTCTTTGGCCAGCATTATGTCTTACGGCCCACAGAAGGTGTTCCATAAATCTGAGTCCTCTGTTTCCTTCCAAGGTCCAGCCAGTGTAAGGACAACAGATAGGGTGATCTAGAATCCTATCCCTGCTTCAGGCTTTTGGGAATGTTCCTTGCTTCTCCAGGATGCCTCGGGCCCTTGGGGCCTGCCCCTCTCCCCTCCACTCACTGCCTTTCAAAGCCCTGGTGTACACTACCTACGGAGTAACAGGATGACCCATTGAGGGGCTGTGAATAGAAAAGTACACATGGGAACTTGGTTCTCCTCAGCTCTAACCTCTGTTATGCCTCCCACTGCCTTACAGATGAACTTCAAATTACAGGCCTGGCCCTTCAGTCCCTCCTAATGCTCCTCACCGGTTCTCCCAGACCTCGTGCCGTGCCGGGAATTCCAGCACCCAGCTACATGCAGAACTCACCATGCCATGCTTTTGCATCTCTGAACTTCTGCTCACGATGCCCCCGCCCCCTGAAAGGCCTTTTCTTGCTGCAACCCTCTGGATGAGTCTCTCTCTCCTTGAGGACCCTGCTCTAGTGTCGCCTCTCTTCAAAGCCTAGATTGGGCCCCCAAAGCCCCCACGGCCCTTCTGTTCTCATTGTGTCTTTGCACCTAGCTTTCCTGCCAGGCTACAGCCCTTCAAAATGGGACCCACCTTTCTGGGTGGCCTCAGACCACCCAGAAGATCAGAGTGAATACAAGCTGAAAAACGCAGTGGGCCTCTCCGGGTGCCCCAGCTGGTGCCTAGGGTTCCTGGCCATGTTCCAGCAGGCTGCCGTACCATTCAGGGGCTCTGATGCACAAGGTATCCTCCTTCCACAAATATACCCAAGTTCATCCCAGATCCCCTTTGCTGCTGCTGCCCCCCTGCCACCTCATTCGCACACACTATGTCCTCTGCCCTCCAGGCTGCCAGTTCCTACACACCTCGGTGACTCTGCCCGTGCCAAGCCCTCCTTCCAGATACCCTGGTCCCCATCCCACCCTCTACCTATTCAAAACTCACCCTGAATCCACATCCTCCGGCTGGGAACGGCCTGTCGTCCTGCTGTACTTGTTCTGTATTGCTCTCATGGCCTTGATCAGACTTTGCTCCTCCTACAGCTTTTAGCACCCCAGCATGGTGAAGGGAACACAGGCCATGGAGCTAAACAAATACCATTAGATTCCCAGCTCTGACACACTTGAGCTGTGTGATCCTGGGCAAGTCACTTTATCTCTCTGCACCTCAATGTGCTCATCTATAAAGTAGGACTAACACCTGGGTCCTAGGTTTGCTGTGAGGGTCAGTCAATGAGCATGAGGACCTATTTATACCTGGGTCTTTTTAGCCAGCCAGCTTGTGAACCTGGTAACATCAGGGTGCAACTGTCACTCAGGCCATATCCACATAGCACCAACCAGGCCCTCACCCAAGAGGTGCTCAGGAATGCTGGCTGATCTGAATGTTGCTGGAGTGGGGGAGGGTTGTGGGGTCCCGAACTGAGGAGGAGAGGGGGTGGGGAGATGAATGCAGAGGGAGGGGCCAGAGGCAGAAGCAGAGCTGCCGATATGCACTGGGGGTTTTATTGGTTTTCATTAAAATTCTTTCCAGCAGCAAGAGGAGCTACTGCCATAAATAACAGCATAAATATTTTATCTGCTGCCCAAGTCAGTCTAACTGCACAACTGGGCTGGCAAGAATAACAATGGGAAAACCTTCAGGGAGGCTGGGCGAGGCTGAGCTGGATTCACTTAATGTCCAAAAGGGACATTCTCCAGAAAGCACTAAAGGGGAGAAGTGGTAGTAATGGAGAGGACCAGCTAAGCAGAGCCCTAGGGGAGAGGAGCCAGAGACAGGGTAGGGTGAGCTCGGGGAGGGAGAACACACGCCACACCTGCTCTGTGATGAACACTTCACTGGGAACTCACAACTAATCTTGCCAGATATTCTTTGATTAGAGAAGAAAAACAGTTTGCCCAAGGCTATCCAGCCAGACACTGGAAGAACCTGGATCTGTTATCGGGTGTGTTGAAGGCCAAAGGCCCTCCCAGAGTACCTGTTGCCTCTTCAGGTTCAGGATCACAAGCATGGGGACTTATGAAAAGCAGAGTGCCTCAGTAAGCACCGTACAGCAGGGTATTCTCTGCTTCCTAGGTCCCCATGGAGGAGAAAAGAAGCTGGTACTTTACCATGGCAACACTCTTCATCAGGTCAGGCCAGGGGCTGGAGGCTGGGTAAAGGATGGAGGGGGAGATGTGGCCTGGAAACCAGGCAGAAGATGGGACTGGGGTGGATGGGCCTTCCCAAGGGGACTGTGGCCACCGTGGCAGCACTCTGGGGTATCTAGGAGGGATGTCCACAGCCCTTTCCTGGCCACAGACTAGATGGCATCTTCCTGGAGCTGGGCAGTGAGGAACAGAAGCGGCTGCCAGCCTTTAACCGCACGCTGGCTTTACTCCGGCAAGTCCTCAAGACCTCGGACCCCCGACAGCAAGGTGGGTTCCCAGGCAGGACTGGAAGTGTCTTTTTCCCTGATGTCCCAGCACTTGTCACTAGCTCTGTTTCTCTTTTTCTTTCACCCTCTCTCACATTTGTTCACCCCAGGGAGCCTAGGCTCCTGTTCCCAGAAAATACACCAATTGCAGAGCATAATAGAGCCAGAGGTGGTGCCAGTATCTGCGATCCCAGCCCTGGGTGCCATGTGAAACAACATATCTGATGATATCCATGCTAAAACAGTTTACTAAGACACAAACAGACAAAGAGAGAATTGATTAAAATACACTTCAAGGAAGCAGCATGGAGGCTCCCAGGGAAGAAGATCAGCCACTGAAAGAGACTGCAAGTTCTTTTATAGCAGTTGAGGGGGGGAGTTACTTGGCCTTATTTCATGAGCCATTTGTGTGGGGACCCTATCTGAGTGGAGAGGCTGGGCCTCTTATTTTGCTCAGTAGCTAATTTTACAGCTGTTTTTCTTGAGACTGGTCATTTGTTGAAGAAGCCCTGAAGTCCTTAGGGAGTAGATGTCATGAGTCACTAGGGATCAGGCTCTAAAGGTGGTGGTGGACCAATTGCAAAGTGTGGGGATTTTGCTTTTATTTTTGGACTTTTGTCTCTACATTCAAGAGACTGAGTCAGGAGGGCCTAGAACTCTAGGCCAGCCTGTGCTACATAGTGAGACCTTGCCACAAAACCAAACAAAAACCCACAGAGCAATGCAAAGACACCACTCTAGGTCCACATCTTGGGGCATGGGGTATGTGTCTCCATCACCTACCACCTCTGTTTTATGGTTAGGAAAGAAAGCTGTGTTGAGAAGAGGGAGTCATTTACAGAGGTCCAGGCAGGAGGTAAGACCAGAGGGGTCTATGCTGATGAAATGACAGCCCCCATGTGACATGCTAGACACAAAGAATGTGTGCCAGAGTGTCATTTACACCCTCACATGCCCTGTTCCTTTGCTCTATCTTTTTTCCTCTCTGTCCTGGGCTCATGCTGCTGTCCCTTCATCTTCATGGAGGTAGTACCTGGAGAGGAGTTGGCCCTGTCCGTGCTCCCACTTGCCCTGCCCCAACTGCCCTAAAGCCCCTAAAGATGCTCTCCTGCCCTCATTCAGCTCTAGCCTGGTGCTACCTTGGCATGCTGCTGGAGAGGAAGGATACTTTCACCAGCACCCCCATGGGCATCCACGACTGCGGATACTCAGGGACTGACCCCCTGGACTGCTTCGGCAAGGTATGTGTCCTGGCCACACCCAGTCTATAAACTGGGACTCCCCACATCTCCAGAGCCCACTGCTTCTATAGGTCAACCTCATTGTGTGACCCTCATAGGAAGGACCCTACTCCAGACCTTTCTCCCCATCCTCTCCTTATCCAAAACAAAAGTACTCCCTCTGTTTTGGTTTGCCAGAGCCTGTTTTGCTCTGCCTCAGATGAACACCCTCCTCGCCTAAACTGGCCCATGCCCATTTCTGGGCATGAAATAGGCACCAGGACAGTCCTGGAGGCTTGTATCCACACCATTCTCTCCCACCTCTAGTGACTTAGTGGAGAAGATGGGTTTATCTGGTCTGCTCTCTGGCCATGTGACCCTGAGGCAAGTCACTTAGAACAGGTAGCAGTTGATATCAACACTGACTGGAAGAGCTGTGACTCAGGAAGAAACCTCATAAAAAATTGGGAGGTAAAGGCTGACTCTTACCAGCCCCATGATAATGGAGAGAGCGTTTGCCTGAGCCTGGAAGGGTTTGCTAGCCATGACAGTGAATGTGGTAGTGAGCCAGACTGAGGAATTGAAGACTGGTGGGCTTGCCCCAAACTAGGTCCAATATGACAGAGCTCTGTGGATGCTGGCCATGGGTAGTTGGGATTTGTGCACTGTGGTGGCACGGCTTCAAGCTCTGCTCCTACTCTCATTCCTTTACAGGCCATCGAGATAGCCAAGAACCAACCTCCCATCCTGAATCGCCTGGCCAAAATCTTCCACTTCCTAGGAAAGCAGGATATGGCCATTGGAACCTGCAACATGGCCCTGGATGTGCTTCCAGACCCAGAACTCAACTGGCAGGCATACTGCACAAGGGCCAAGGTGAGTCAGGCTGCAACTGCACTTTATCCTGCCATCAGGAATCAGAGGCCCAGGGCCAAGATCCTGGTGCCAGTGCTCAAAAGCTCTGGAGCCTTCATGGTGTGGGGAGCCTCATAGTATTCTAGAGTTAAGAGAGTTGAGTTTGGTTCTGTATGTAAATGCACACTGGAAGAGTTCATTCCTGACTATTAGGTCCATTTTTAGCAGCTTCACTGTCTCTTGAGAGAATGGGTTGCATCTGTCCTCAGTGCTGCCAGTCATGAGAGCGGCCTCCCTCAGCTCTCCTCCAGGGCCCACCTCCACCTCTGGCACCCCACAGAGCCTGTCTGCTTGGGGCCAGACACCTGTAGCTCTAAATTCACTTTGCGCTAAACTAAACTAATGCGGCACCATCCTCTATCTTCTCTACCACCTTTCACAGGACCCAGCAGCCGATGTGCTTCTGGTTTGATCCCCATGGCTGCCTATAGGTACTAGGCAGGAAGCTTCTTCACTGTAGTTGATGCAGATGTGGTTGAAGGATATTCATCCTAAGAGTAAACTACAAGACAGCTCTACAAAACTCTGCATCTCACCAGTGCTTTTATGCTATGGTCTGGTTTAATCCTCACAGGAATCCTGTGAGAGGTGAGGCCTATGCCATCCTATGGATAAGACCGCCATGGCACAGGGAGGCAACTAAATTCCCTAGGGTACTACATCCAGTTTGTGGGAACTCTGGCCTTATCGCCTCTTCTCTTTGCCTCCCTGTGGCTCCAAAGGTCACATGTATTACTCAGATGACTAGAGGAGGAAGGAACAGGAGGGAAGAGGGCTCACAGGTCTATATAGAAGCTTCTGCTGACAGTGACCCAGAAGCCCAGACCTGGCGGTTGCAGCTGTATCCAACCCCCTTCTCATGTCTTTCTCACTCTCTTCCAGCCCCACCAGCCTGGGTTTCCACCTAGAATGCTCTTCTCACAGATACCTGATTGGCTTCCTTCCTCCCTTTCTACAGGTCTAACAAAACTCCAGCTTCTTTCTGGTGGTCCTCTAATGACAACCCCCTTACCAGGATTTTCTGTCCTTTCCTGTTTTACTTTTTCTTCTAAACACCAACCACTCCATAACATTCTATTTACCTATTTTTCATGTTTATTATCTCTCCCTACTAACATACAAGCTCATGAGACCAGGGGCTTTGTCATTTTGTTCTCCGTAGTAACCTCAGTGCCCCGCACATAGTGCCTGCCTCTTAGTGAATATGCTGCTGAGACTCTGGCTACTTTGGGGTCAGAAAGGAAGCAGATGCCTTGTGTAGAGCACTTTCCTTGAGCTGATCCTCTGCCACAGGTGCACGTCAGAGCCTATGTCCAAGACCTGGAACGGGCCAAGGTGGGTCTCGGGGGCATGCCTGACAGGAACCATCTGGGGTGTGCCAAAGCTGACCTTGAGGAAGTGGTCAAGGTGTGCCCAGGCCTCAGGACCTACCTCGACATTGGCCAGGTGAGACAGTCAAGGGCTCAGGAAAACCTAGTGACTCCTGCCAAGGAATGCCTGGGTACTGAGGGCAGAAAAATGTAAGGGGTGTCAATCTCCCATCCCTTCCCTTCCAGCTGCCATGTGGATTGGATGCAATATGTGTATGGTGTTTGGAAGGAGACCCTACCCCCTGTAAGCACACCGTACAGACCTTGGTGTGCTCAGAGGAGGGTTACCAAGACCTGATCACATAATAATTGTACTCGGGAGGTCATAAGGTTAGGCTTGAGGGACTGGAACTGAAATTCTAGGCAGTCTGCCTTTTCAGGAGGCAGAAGCAAAATCTGTGATTAATAGGAGAAAGAGTAGGAAAATGAGTGTGAGGATGAACGACGGGGAGCGGGGTGTACAGGATGAAAGCTCAGAGGCTGCCCTCACCCAGGTCTACTACTACATGGGCGTGGATGCCATGCGGGAGCTGCTGGCGGTGGACGAGGCAGCGCTTAACCAGGCACTGGTCTTCCTGGCAAAGGCGGGCGAGTCAGAGCTGGGCGCCACGCTGCCCGAGCTACAGCTGCTACGTGGCAAATGCCTGCGTGTCCAGGGAGAAGAGGCCAACGCAGCGGCCTGCTTTAAGCGCACGGTGGAGCTGGACGACTCGGGCTCCAGTCACACCGAGGGCTTCGGCTGCCTGCTGGAGGCGCTGCTGGCACAGTGGAGCCAGGCGCAGCTGAGCGACTGCGAGGTGGGCCTCGAGGTGGACTTCTGGCTGCGCCAAGCCCAGGGCAAGTACCCCGCGGCGTGCCTTCGCCAGGAGCTGCAGCGTGTGTGGCGCAGGCACACGGATGAGGTGCTAGGCTTGGCCCGGGCCTTGGTGATCCAAGGAAAGCCAGCGCTAGTGCGGCTGCTCTTTGAGAGCATGGAGCAGGAGGGTGAGGATGCTGGAGCACCACACAGAGGACACGCACTCTCCTTCTAAGTGCTGGGTGCACCGGCCAGAAGCTACGCGGCCCGTCCCGACGAGGCCCCGCCCCCAGCTTCCAGCTGGCGGGTGATCAGAGTCAAACTCTGTTTTGGAATTTGTAGTTTTGGGGAGCTTGCCTAGCGTGCCTGAGCCTCTGGCTTCCTTTCTGCAGTGGGGAGATGTGAAAGCTTTCATTTTCCCGGAAATTGTAAATGGATACTGGGAGGCAGTTTCAAGTGCTCATAGGGAAACTGCCAGTTGAGGGAAATAAGGTTTTTACAAACATGGTTCAAGTATCCCGAGAGGAAAGATAGCCTGGTGCTTGATTGCCTGTCATTGGAGTCCTAAGAACCACACTGAAAGTTGACGGCAGAGGGTCTCAAGTCCTGCAGAAAAAGCCTGGCACCCACAATGAGTGGGTGCAGCAGGGTCCTGACTTAATCCCAGGTGCTCAGACCCCATTCCTACCTCTCCACCAGCTTCTCACAGGAATAGGCATTCACACACCGAAATAAAACTCATCAGAAACACCTTTACTTGATTCCTCTGTTCCTGGAGGTGCGCCCATTCGTTATACCTGCCTCTATCAAAGATGGAAGGAGATCTTGGAATCCTACATACTTGCAATCAGTCATAAAATCTTAACGTAGAAATTTGTCCCAAAAAAAAGCTTGTCAGACACCAGGAATGCTGTCAGATTCCCATAAAGGTTTGAGTGCTGCATTGTGCTGTCTTTGAAGAACTATACTCCCTGCATTACTCAGATCACAGGTCCTCAGATTTGACCAGGGACGTAGCAGCACCTCACCCTGCATCTCTACAGCCACTGATAGATGGAGGAGAGACTGAGTGTAAATCGACCCTACAACTCCCTTACTATACAGATGGAAATCAGAACCAAGAAGGAAAGTGGATTGTCAAACTCATACTGCCCATTCACCCTGTATCTCAGATGTACTTTCAGTATTTTGTTGGTTGGTGGTGGTTTTGTATGTTTGAGACAGGGTCTTAGTCAGTAGCCCAAGATGGCCTGGATTCACTATGTAGCCCAGCTTAGCCTCAAACTCACAGTGATCCTCCTGCCTCAACCTCTTGAGTATTAAGATTACATGAGTCACCACTCCTCTCTTTCAACACTTTTAAGGTTTATGAAAATACTAGTAAACTTTGTTAAAAATTTATGTGTCGGGGCTAGAGAGATGGCTCAGCAGTTAAGAACACTGTTCTTGCAGAAGACCCGGGTTCGAATCCCAGCACCCACATGGCAGCTAACAGTGGTCCGTAACTCCAGTCCCAGGGGATCCAACAGCCTCTTCTGACCTCCACGGGCATTGCACGACACAGGTGCACCTACATGCAGGCAATACATGCATACACATAAAATGAAAAGAAAATAATTTAAAAAAAATTTTATGTGTCAACTGGGGTCTCTTGGTGGGACTGGGACCTGCACGGTGGTGCTGTGGGACAGGCCAAGTTCCACATGGGTGGAGGAAGTACAGGTGCAGGTCTTTAAGAAATCTAACAGAATTGGCTTCAAAAAGAGCTCTCTGGTCACCCTGGCCAGAGGAGCAGAGGAGATGGAGGCCATTATTCCTGTAGATGTCACAAGACGAACTGGGATTAATGTCACTGCGGCAGGACTGACTGGGAAAGACCCCCATACAGTGTAGCTGTGATGTGGTCATTTGCCCTGATGCCAGTCTTGAAGATGCAAACTCTATGGTGTTGTGGTGGTTATGCCTGGAGGAAATCTGGGGGCACAGAATTTATCTGAGTCTGGTCTGGTAAAGGAGATCCTGAAGGAGCAGGAAAGCAGGAAGGGCCTCATTGCCAGCCATCTACCTCTGTTGGCTCATGAAATAGGTTTTGGAAGCAAAGTTACAACACACCCACTTGCCAAGGGCAAAATGATGAACATGAGTCACTGTAGCTACTCAGAGAACTGCATGGAAAAGCCTGATCCTCAACCAGCTGTGGGCCTGGGACCAGCTTCAAGTTTGTGCTGGTCATTGTGGAAGCCCTCAGTGGCAAGGAGGTGGCTGACCAGGTGAAGGTGTCACTTGTTCTCAGACACTAGAGTCCGAGCCCTGACCCCAGCCAGAGATCTAGGCAGGCCATTAGAGGCTAGTCTTCAGCACTTGGCCCTCCAGTGTGTCCTGAAGCTGGTGACTCTCAGGACGTAGCCAATGAAGTAGCTACACAGGACTCTACCTGAAGACTGGGTCTGCACATTTCTGAGCCTTGTTTGCAGAATAAAGAGTTAAAAAAAATTATGTGCCACTTGGTGCACTCTAATATTCATTGGGACAATGCTCTAATATGAATAGTGGCATTCAGGTGTCTATGAAATCTGTGTGTGAGCCACCCTGGAACCCCTGAACTTCACCTCATGGCTCGTGATGGCTCAGCAAGTTGGGTGATAATGTTCTTTCCTCCTCTTTCCATTGCAGCAGAGGCCGGAGGAGACTCAGCATGAGGCAGCACACATACCCCTGATCTCTTCTCTCCCACCTGGCCAACCATACTTCTCCACCCAGTACTGTGACCATGACCTTCCCTGGGGTGGGGATTCCTTTCCTTCTACTTGACTAGGTAGACAGACTGAATTTAGGGCAGTTGACTGGCAAGACTTGGAAGTTAGTGTTTTTTTCTTTGCCTTTCCTGTCCCTTGATGGCTTACTTTTTAAAAAAAATAATCCTCTAAATAGCATCTATTGTGTCAGTTTTTTCAAGAAACTTTTTGATTACCTCATCCACACATTGTATAAGTGGTTAATAAATACCCACTCTAATTTTTCTCAGGGTTATCTGCACATTAAGCAAAAGCCAAAGAGGTAAGGGAATCCCATTTCCAGGGCTACCTACTATGAGCTAGGCACAGACCAAGTGGCATTACAATCCTCATCTCATGGATGACACTGAGACACAGGACAAGGTCACAGATAGGTATGTGGTAAGCCAGAATTGAGGCAGACCAGCCCCATTCTATGCCATCTCCTGGTCACAGATTCACAGATATGTCATCTTGGTCACCTCTTCCTGCCGAGGGGTGAGTCCCAGGTACCCTGTTCCTCTACCCCATTTCTGCTTCCAAACTGTCTATCCTCTGTGCCTTTTCAGGTCCTGTTCCCTCACTGATTTTCCACTCAGCTCAGAGATATCCTCCAGAAAGCCCTCTGCTTCCTCCCACCACATGGCATTCACGGAGGTACAGGCCAGGGCTGCAGCCCAGGAATGCTGGAGGTTTCTTTATACCTCCTGCCCAACCTCACACCAACTCCCCAATCCCACAAGTGGGAAACTGCGGCCCTAAGATTTACTTATCTAATGTCAAGCTCCAAGCTGCCTCTCAATTCTGCCAAGCCCAGGAGAACCCCGTTCTTCCATTCATTTGCCAATCTAATACACATCAAGCTCTGGCCAAGTGCTAGCTATCTAGTGCCAGACTCCAGAGTAATGTGGGGACCTGTCCTTGCTTTGCCTGCAGGGAGTTAATGGGGAGGTAACATGTGCAGCAGTTAGGAAGACCTCACAGACTTCTGTGGGATTTCAGAAATCTCATGAACGCTACTGGAAACCTAAGGAAGTTATTGACAGAGCTGGCTAACCCTACCACTCCATCCCAGCCATCCTCAGCCAACCTTTCTACAGTGCAGTAGAGAATGTGCTGTCCTTGCAGCCCAAGACCCAGTTACTGGTTGCTCCTCCTCAGGCCATTCCTTGTTCATTTAACTTTCACTGTAAGCCCTGCAGGACATCCAGCCCACTGGGCAACTGGGAGGACAACTGTCAAACATCTGAATCCACAGGAGCTCCCTGGGGGAGCACTGCAGAGTGAAAGCCTTAATGAACCACAATGGGAGCAAGGAGGAAGAAACGTGTGCCTTATGCTGCCTGCCCTCTCCTTCCCTGGGTCTAGCAGTCACCAGACAGCTGGGAACACCTGATTAGGCAGCGTGAATGAGGCCTATTAAAGAGTATGAAAATAGGTAAGATTCCTCTGTTACAGCTTTCAAAGATCTCAGAGTTGCAAAGAACCTTAGTTCTTAGTTGCAAAGAACCTTCCATCTAGAGCAAGCCTCCTATGCTGGTTGGCTTCAGTTGTCAACTTGACACACCTGGGAAAAGGGCACCTCGATTGGGGAATTTCCTCTATTGGACTGACCTGTGGCCATGTCGGTGGAGCATCTTGTTGATTGTTGAGTCATATGGGAGGGCCCAGCCCACTGTAGGTGGTGCCACCCCAGGGCAGGTGGTCCTGTGTTGTTGAAAGCAGGCTGAGCAAGGACCAGAAAAGCAAGCCAGTAGTCAGCGTTCCTCCATGGCCTGTGCTTCAGCTCCTGCCCCCAGGTTCCTGTCCCGAGTTCCTACCTTGGTCTCCCTCGGTGATGAACTGTGACCCAGGAGATGTAAGCTGAATAAACCCTTTCCTCCCCAAGTTGGTATTGGTCGCAGTGTTTTGTCACAGCAATTGTAAGCTAACTAGAACAACTATACTTTGATTTGCTGATATGTATCAGCAAAAAAGGTGAGGCCTGTTCTGCTGACGCTGACCTACAGATTCCATCTCACCTCCTTCTCCCACATCCCTTCTCACAGCTGGCCAGCCACCCCAAAACAGGCCTTCCACACTCATGCTGCCAACCTAGAATATTCTCAATCTTTCCCAGCAGCCTGGACATCTGTCTCCCATACTTCGTACTCCCGTGGAGTCCTGTTGTACCCTTTGACACGTGCCTGGCACTAAACCAATCACTTCTTACCTCAAAACAAAAATAAATTCCCAGCCAATTATGGTGACTTATAACCTGTAATCTCAGCACTCAGTAGGACTGCCTCACAATCAAAGCCAGGACATCATAATGCATTTCAAGCCTGTCTCAAAAACCAAACATACAAGGAGAACCTGCACAAACAAATCAGTTCATTTTTCAATAGCAACTCTCCTGAGTTTGTCCTTCAGTTGAGTTGAAATCTTCTTTTCTGAAACTTCTTTCTCCAAGTTCACCTTCTGGGGCCATACAGAATATAACCTAATAAGCAATGTGACCTTGAACAGACACTTCACGGTCCCCATTCTCTTGCCATTGTGGCACCTGTTATAGCATTGTTGTGCAGACTTGCCAGCCACTGGGCTGAGCTCTGACCTGGCTTCCAGCCCCCAACCCCGGCCTGGGCTCACACAGTACAGGTGCTAGCAGCTAAAAGCAGCATAGAGCAGAGTTTCTTCTGTTCCTAATCAGCCCCCAAGGGAGCACCCTGCATGGATGACAGTGGCTGGATGCCAAATGAAGTAAAATATCTCCTTTCTCAGGCTGTTACCTTTTTTTCTTGTTTAAGGAAAGGGAGGATAATGACATTTAGCACTTTACAGCTCAGCAGTAAAATGAGCAGATGGAAACAGATTCCCAGCATTGCCGGCAAGCTTCCAGCAAGAAAGCATCCCTAGTTCTGGGGGGCCCAAGTCCCTGATGAGGACAGAGACACCATGGCTCCTCCTCCTCCCCCAGCTCTTCCCTACAGCCAG